TTCACAGATAATATTGACTTGAAATTTATTAAAAATAGATGTCTTAAGCAGTGGAGTGCTAACACATTCATGCACATGCGTTTTAATACGACAACAGTTAGAATTGATCTGATTTGTATTCACTTTTCAGTGGACCCGGACACTTGTGCCAGTACAGGTTCCCTCCGGTGGGAGAAACACTTTGCTCGTAAAACTATTACGTTGCAACCAGGATCTCCTTGCAACGATTTCAGAGGCTACTGTGACGTGTTCATGAGATGTCGGCTGGTCGATGCTGATGGCCCTCTCGCTCGGTTAAAGAAAGCGATTTTTAATCCTGAGCTGTATGAAAATATCGCAGAATGGATTGTGGTAAGTATTTTTATTTTACTGGTCTAATAAAAAGTGTTGTTGTTAATCAGTGTTTGCAGCTGCTAAGTAGCACAGTCAGTACTTCAGCATTCTTTGAAGTATCGTCAGTCATTGTTTTCCCTAGTATTTCTATAAGCACCTTGACTGCTGCAAATGTCTTGACAGACGGAGTCAGTGCAAGGAAGGGAGGTAGAAAATAGTTCATGTTGACACTTCAGTTCACACCGTTACATTTTGTGTGAATGTTCGTATTTCAACTTGTTGAGTTTTCATTAACTCTTAATATTTGAATGTTTTGCTTTCATTTAAGGAAGTGAGCATGTCGACCTCCAGTAATTCTTACTTCTATTACATTATATCATGCTTCAGTGGTAATAGACTGGTGGGGGAAGCTCAAAGAAAGTATTATAAAACTGCACAGTCAACTTTGAGTAGGTTCTTGAGTTTTAGGTTTATATAGCTGTGTTGTAGTGCAAGTGTCTCAAATACTCTTCTGATGATATTATGAATCTTAAGGAGTTATTTGTGTGTGTGTGTAAGTACTTCACATCAGTTTTCCTTTCAAACATTAGGGTTTCTTAAGTAATGTTTCCAGTTAGTTTCTGGATGACTTTTAAAATGCAGTAGAAAGCCATACACAGTGTGTATTCATGTCTATGCATGCCTCCCTTGAATGCAAAGATTAAAAAAAAACCAACCAAACAAACAAAAAAAAAAACTTCTTTTAATGTTTTTAGGCTCATTGGTGGGCAGTATTGCTTATGGGAATTGCCCTGATCATGTTAATGGCTGGTTTCATTAAGATATGCAGTGTTCATACTCCAAGCAGTAATCCAAAGTTGCCTCCTCATAAACCACTTCCAGGTAAGCCGATAAATATTTTATCCTCTATTTTTTTCTGAAGGGAGAATTTCTGGTATCCCAGTCTGTAGTCTACTGCCTGCTGCTACAAAACTTGAAATGGAATTCGTGCCATGGGAACAATTGATAAAAATAGAACTCTTTCCTTATTTCCTTATAATATAATATGCATAACAAAAGAAAGACTTTGAAAAGGCTTTCTGTCTCAGACTTCCTTTCATTTTATATTCCATACTACATATCATAAGAATTGGACTGTTAAAGGAACTACTACTGAGATAAGAAAAAGTACTCTATGAATGCTGTATGTGTTTAATCATGTATTTAAAACATTGCAGTTCTAAGTCTGAAGCTTTTCAAAAAAGTCATTACGTTTATCTTTTATTGGCTGGGCAACTTTTCTGGAAGTCTTTTCTTCTGCACTTGTTTTAATAATGTGCCTTTCTTTGAAACAGGCACTTTAAAAAGGAGGAGACCGCCACAAACTGCTCAGCCACCGCAGCGGCAAAGGCCCCGAGAGAGCTATCAGATGGGACATATGAGACATTGACTGCAGCTTTTTGCCTTGGTTCTTCCTAGTGCCTACAATGGGAAAACTCACTCCAAAGAAAAACCTAATAAATCGTTGTCCCCAGTCTAACTCTCAACAATTGAAGAAAAAAAAAAAAAGCATGATTTGCCCTCAAAACAAGTGGGAATGGTGAATTTTTTGACGAGTGAATCTTCCAGCTCAAAAAGAAGAAAAGCGTTTTTCTTGCATACTTTTAATTTAGTGGCACAAAATCCTAGAGCATCATGGTTCTTTCTCCCTCCTGTGCTCTTCATTGCTGCATTTTCTTCACTTGCAGGCAAATATGGCTGTAGTAAAACTTTTATTCAAGAATTGAAAAAATATATATTTTTCAACTGCCAGACAAGGCTAGGAAGCTAGACCACCTCAGCATTGGAGACATGACTTGCCAATGTATATACATTGTTATATGCAGACATGTATTTCTAACGTACACCCGTACTTGTGTGCAATTGTAAACAAGAGAATTGCAATATGGATGTTTCTTTGTATTATAAAACTTTTCCGCTATTAATGAAGAAATTACTGTTTAATTGACATACTCAGGATAACAGAGGATGATGGTGTGTAATGGTCAAGGATCCTGTGATGCTTTACACAGCAATTTTGAATCAAACTTTTTATCATGATCAAAGTTGTTTCAAGCACTCATTTTATCTTTTCTCAAACAGCTGCTAAGACATAGCATACAAGATTGAATGGTCTTTTAGAGATACAGCAGGTGTTGTGCAAACTTTGCAAATACCAGAATGTTTCAAATTTTTTATATAACGTCTGATGTCTTGTAGCTCAGCATCAATGTTTTTAATTTGTCTGATTGTTCAGTTAAATAACGAATAGTTAGATGAAATCTTTCCATGCTTTAGTAGAAAATTCTGCCTGTTTTTCAACTTGTTTTAAAAATTGCAACCAGTTTATCTGGGATGTTCAATATTCCTTCATTGTGACGAGTTCGTGATTCTGAGGGATGAGGAAAGAAATGGAAGCAGTGGTTTGTTTTCTTTTTTAATTTATCGGATGTTTGAGTAACTTTTCAGCAAGATGCTGTTGGTTGATAACCACTAAAGTAGTGATTCGCCCAGCTTATTGTGGCAGAGTTAAAACTGTAGTTAGGACTACCAACTTTCCCAGCCATTTTCTAACAGTAGTGAAGTTCAACAGCACAATGTCCCATTCCAAAGTTTTTATTACGAATGTAAATAATTGGCATTTTTAAAAGTGAAAACAAAAGATTTCTTAAGGTGCTTACTGCTATGCAGGAGATGAAAGGAGGGCATTACAAGCTGTTTAAGCTTTTGATATATTTATTGCTTGTTTTCCAAAAGCACCGAGCTAATTAGAGGCGTAAATGGCTATGATTTTCCTGGCTTTGCTTAGGAGAAAACTTACTAAGGTTGGACAGGCTTCCTTTGTTTGTTTTGGGTTTTGTTTTTTCTTTTTTTTTTTTGTTTCTTAAGAGTATAAGGTTTACACAATCATTCTCATAATGTGACGCAAGCCAGCAAGGCCAAAAATATTACTGAATATAATGGGATCTCTTCCTTGTAAACTTGTACAGTATGTGGTGACTTTTTCAAAATACAGCTTTTTGTACATGGTTTAGAGACAAATTTTGTACATGAAACCCTGGTCCAATAGACTATATAAATAATTCTAAATGATCTTAACTAGATAGAAGTGTATGTAGTTGCTTTTAAATCATTTTAAATACATTTGTTTTAAGACTGTGCAAAGATTGGAAGTGGGTTTGCATTTCTAAAATGGTGACTTTTCTTCAGCAAGAGTTCTTAGTAACTTCTTGGGTGTGGTAGACTTTGGAACATGTACATTTTTTGCCTGTAATGTTATCCTGTGGTAGGATTTCGGCAGACAAACGCTGCCCTATTTTATTTTGAGTCTAAGTTAAATGTTTTCTGAAAAGAGAAATGTGCACTGAACTCTCCACTGCAAGTCAAGATGTGGTAAATCAAAAAGAAAGTTCAAGGCAATGGAATACTACTGTCAATTTCATGTCCGCTGTGTTTTATACAGTATCTTTTTTGTTCACTTTGGAAATTTTTACTAAAATTGCAAAAAAAAATAAAAATAAAAATGAAGTATTGTGCAAAGATATGTAAGGTTTTTTGAAACTTGAAATGCATTAATAAATAGACTTGATGAAATCAGCTTTTGAAGATCTATTTACTTTTTAAACCATGAAGGCAAAAAGGAATATGCAGACTCTTGCTTTTGCTGTGAATGGGCAGTTGCACTCAGAGGCAATTGCACACTACCTGTATACTCTCCAAGTGCATCTCTATTCACATCTCATGGTTAAATGCAAGAGTAAATATTCTTGTGTTGTTTAAGGAAAATCTCTAAAAATGTCTGTCTTCATTGCTGTGATCACGCAAGTGACTTAAAGCTGTCTCTTTTTCATCTTTGATATAGAAACTAACTACTCTTGGGTTATTCAAGCCTGGAATTATAGCTAGCGAATGATTGTAAAATAAATTTATTTTTGAAGAGGAATACCCCAATTAACATGGAATAATCTCAGCACACAATTAATGGATTAGACCTTGAGAGGGATCAAATCTGCTTTTTGCAAGGTGTTTTCAAGCTTTCCAAGCTGTGTGTCTGTTTTCTTTTACATTTTAAAGTTGATTTAAGAGATAAGATTTCTTTTAAATGCCAACTTCTCCAGCTAGTCTTTCCTCTCAGGGATGTTTGTTGAGAATAGTCTGCTTAGGCATCTGTTTCCCTAACTGAGCGGGATATGCTTTGATGTAATAAAAGCACATTCAGAGTTCCTTTCTCACAGTACTTGCTTTCCCCGTGATATTTTTGAGTGTTTCCCTTTATAGCTAAGTAGCACTGCTAGGGCAAAAGATAATAACATAACAGTTGGAGTAGATCCCTTGTGCATACCAGCATCGTGGTTACCTAATAGATTTGGCAGTTTTTCTATTTTCACTTCTGGGAATTCACACCAAAGCGGTAGAATAATGCCTAAGCATATAAAACGCATTGCATGTATTTTTTAAGGGTGTTTAGGGGAAAACAAGGAGGACACAAATAGCTGTTTTTTAACTAATGTTCGACTTAATAATCCCTTGTTATGGCTATTCACTTGAGCATATTTCTTAATGTTGTGTTTGTGGAGTGTCACTTGGCTGTAGGAACACGAGTAGTCAGAATGGTAGGAATGAGAGAAGGCCGTCACAGACTCCCCTTGTACCATGAAATTTCATTTTATTTAAACCAGACAGATCAGAAACCAGTGATGTAGTTTGGCCTTTGATTAATGTTCCAATATTGCTTTTTGGGAAGGCGGGAGAGAACAAAGCACAGGCTTTGCCTCAGATGTTACATTGGTGGCTCATTATAACACAGGTGATTAAAGGCTCAGCAGTCCTTATGCTACTCTCAACTGTGCTTCCTCTGACAGGAGCAGACTTGTGAGGCTGTCAGGGTCTCAGTTCAGTATTCTAATGACCTAACAACAGTTTGAGCGCGATGTGAGGCACTGCTATAGCTACTTGGAATCGTAGCTATGGCCTTCTGGCATTGCCAGGCAGTTGGTGTATGCTGCCACATAGGCTTTATTATTTTTAAATCAGAAATTAGTCTAACAGCTATCAAAAACATAGGATTTACTTGGCACAGGACTAGTTTGAACATCTAAATTGTGAAAAACGATATCAGAATAAATTTATTTGTATCTTCAAGAGTTTAAATACTGAATGTTCTCTTAATTTTTCTGTTCGGCTGAAGGGAAGTTTTCAAGGTGTGTTACCTGAGGAGATACCTTGTTTACCTCTGAACTGAAAGATGTTTTTTCCCCAGAGAAGTCCCCAGGCTGCAGTATCGCTGCTCTTTGGCTTCAGCACACTGTAGACATCTTTGACTTTTTCACCCACTTCTCCTGGACTAATGCTTTTAAACTTCTTTATAGAGGATCCCTGTATCAACCTTCTTAGCACATAAGTAGTAGTGCTATTAAAGGCTAATTTTACTGCCTAAAACGTGCCAAGTGTGTTGGGGTGTGTTGCTACAGGAAAGCCATAACCTAAAAAGCTGTGAGAATGTGTGTGTTTTATGTCATACAACTCTCATCAGAAGCTGTCTCACCAGCTGGGGTGGTTGTTATGAGGTCTTTATTTCAGTCTTCCTTTTTCTGTATTGATTATTCCTGTTTAATTACATGGATGTTAGCTACTGAAAACAGCTTTTAAAAGTTAGGAGTTACCATTCTGGGAGTTACTATGATCAGCAAAGTTGTCTGCATTCGCTGTTTGATGATGGTTAGCTGCTTGCAGGATTCCTGGTTCTGCTCTGCTCATTCCTTATGCTTTTTAAATCATCTCACTTTAATTCTGGTAACATCTAATTATTTTGATTCCAAATTTCCTTCAGTATCTTGATATGATATCAGTTCTTGTGACTGTTTTCAAATTTAGAGAACATTTAAAACAAATACATTCAGAATAGCCACAGAAACATAATTTTTAATGATTATTGTACTTAGTTACTCAGTGACAAATGAAATACTTTCAACTTATTTCTACTTATTTTAGTTATGCTCTCCTGTAAGCATAAAACATGACTGATCTGAGATGACAGTTTATTTGTGTAGTTTATATTCCAATATGGAAAACAATGGAATTTTGTACGTTTTAATTCTTTAAATCTATTTATATGCACTGAGGACAAAAGTTTTACCATTTTCATTTATTAATGCAGTTTAAAATGATAGTAAGATTTGCTATACAGCAATTTAAAATGTAAAAATTTCAAGTGTTACACAAACAAGTAAATATGATTTTCACACGCAAGTTAACAGAACTTCTTTGTGCCACAGTGGTGAGTGGTACGTGAAGCATTATTAAATTACTATTGATTTAAATTAGTACACTATAACGGCTAAATGGCAAAGCATTTTCCAGTAAGGCATAGCTTTTTGGGGTGATGTAGTTATTTTCCTTGCCATATAGTCATAAGGAATAGCTCAAGCATTCTGTACATTGAGATGCTTTCTAGTTTTGAAAGTCATCAAATCAGAAATTCAGACTTTTTGTTGACAGTGTTGCCCATCTTGGAGTATGTTTACTGTTGAACTCCATCTGCACTATGAAATAATTTAGGAAATATTTAATGGATTTTCACTATTGATGATTCAAAGTATTTAACTGGAAATGAAACTCCTTCTTGCAAAGAGATGTATCAGTGATTATTTCAAATAGTAGCGTTTTGATTTCCAGCAAGGATTATTTCAGACTTCAACTAATTTAAAATTAACAGTTGCTGTCAATAAAGTTGCTCATTGGTCACTGAGAGTAGGCTTGCACATCAGCACAGTGCCTTTCAGTTTACCATTGCATCGCAGAATTTACATTTGTTTGTATTCTCTTCATCACCTCTGAAGCCACCGGAATTTGTAGATTTGTGCTTAGTATCTCTAAGTGTTTTTAAAACATCCTGCTAGATGTGTGCTATTTTTAATATGTTTTGCTTATTAGTTGGTTTTTCTTCTTGTTCACTTTCGCTCTTGTTGCCGAAATCGATCTTCACATCTCACAAATGTTTTCTCTTGGGCTGGATAAAGGTGAATGTTGTCAATACTTTGAGAGCAAAATGTCATTCTAGGAAGAAAACAAAGCGTGTAACCAGAATAATACTTTTAAGGGATGCTGTCTGTAAGAAATGGCTCTCTAAATACACTGTCTTTACATTTCCTGTACTTACCTTCCTGTGACATCCCAGATTGCACAGAAAGAAAACAGAGCATGTTATTCTTTAAAATATTGGCAAAAACTTCTGCTTCTTACAGCAGAACAGCTTCTAAATATTGTTAGATACCTGAAAATACCACCTGAACTCCCCACACCATTTACCCTTTTTCCAGTTTATCCTAAATAGTGTATCAGTAGCAATTGGCTTGTTCTATGTTAATGATACAGGACTGTTGGAGAGGAATTTTTTTCTCAAGGTACAAAATCTTTTTTTTTTTTTTAAAACAGCTCTCCAGTTTGCCTTGTACCACACAGTTTAATTTGTTTTGGCAGCCAGGTCAGTACTGAACAGCAGGAGATGTTACAAAAACAAGTTTTATATATATTTTTGGCAGGAGAGTGTGCAAAGTGCTGGGTTAGGAAGAAGTATCTATGAAACACATTTTTGGAAAGGGGAAAAAAAAATATATGATACTCCTCTGCCACCCTTTTAAATTGCCCAATTTGTGGGGATTTTTTGTTAGCATCAAGGAGCTGCGGCTCTGCCAATAAATACTGTTCCACAGGAAGTCTGCATGTGGTTGTAACTGGTGTGCTGGTAAGAAAGAGACCATAACAAGGAAAAACACCTGAGGCTGAGCCACAGTTGCAAGGTAAGACATGATTTTCTTGTTAGTTATAATGCTCAATTAAAATTTCTCAAAGGATTAAAGCAGTAGGAATAATTACAAGTTTTGTTATTTCTTCTGGCTGAAATTTCTGTCCAAATAAGCAATTTCAAAAATATTAATAGCATTTGCTGTATTTGGAGACCAGTACCACTCAGATCTGTGGGTCCAGTTCCAAAAAAACAAGTGTATCTTGAAAAGCAAATAATTGAGATTTGTCTTATTTTTCCAAGTAGGATTTTGAATTTTCAAGGCCTTAAAGTTTGAATCAGTATTTATTTTGGTTTATATTTGTTTCTTTGAAATTTCTTATGGTCCTTATAGAGTGAGATAATTAGATTCTAAAAATAAGAAATCGCTATCATTTATTACTATTGTGTAGAAAAAATGCATTGCTTGTTTGAGTTCTTCCTTGGATCTGTTTGCTACCTCCTTCTCTGTCCTTTATTCCCAATTATCAATTGCACCGTTACCCAAGGCAGTGGTGCCTTGAATTCAGGTTAGTGTTATTAGTGAGCCAGAATATTTCCCACAATTCATTTTAGACCTGAGCACAAAAATTCTTCTCACAGGTCACTTCAAAATCATGCATTTTGATCTGAGACTAAAATTAAAAAAAAATAAAATGATAGAGGCTGGACATGGATAAACTCGGCTGGTCTGAGTACAGGGACTGGGATCATTGTGGTAGAGCTAGGAGCACCTGTTTGCTTGCTGTCTTATTACAGAAGCAGGTTCTTTTCATTGCACTTACTTTTGCTGTGTTTCCCCTGCTTTCACTCGTATTGTCTTCACTATGAGCCCTGGTCGATGAGTGCCTTTTGTCCATGGTATTATGGTTTGAAACGTGTCCCAGATATTTTTCCAAACTGCAGTTCCTTCCCATTTAAACTTGATCATTAGTAGCTCACCAATATCAGTGTCCAGTGTGATGAGAAAAGAGTAGGTTTTATTCCCATTAATTCCTTCAACTCTGCAGAAATGAAAAATAGAGTAATGCTATCTCAATTATAATGGGTTGAAGTTCATTAAAAAAATAAACTGTTTCTTTGAAATCAAAGAAAGAACTGTTCCTCCCTCCAGAGAGGACATTACTGCCTCTGGCATACTCTTCCTCTAGGTGAGTGAAGTTGTGAAATACAACAACTTGCTTGGAAAAAATGGCAGAAGTTAGGAGAAGCTTGGACAGGTGGCAAAGTACCAGTGGTTTCTGAATGTAAAAGAGGTGTTCCATAATACTAACTGTGTTATGCCTTCTGTCTCCTAGAGCAAAGACTGCCTTTACTTTTGATAATGCCGACAACGTATCCATTGTGGGACATAGCCATGTTTCTTTACCCTAATTGCAGTTGCTTCATTTAGTTTGAATTGATAACTGCCCTGTGCTAGCTTGGGATGGACCAAAGTGGACAGGATACCAAATCTTAAGAGAAACTTCCAAGATTGTTTGTTTTGTTTAAGAGATCCTTCTTAGAAGAATTGTATGAATAATGTAAAAATTCATAACTTTGAGGGAGTGTTGGTGAAGAGAGGACAACTGCTGGTTCATCTCCAATTACTTGTAGTTAAACCAAGTCATTCACAGCTTGATTATCCAAGTGACATGGTAAATTAACCTTTCTTTCCTTACTTGTCCAATGACATGCAATGTCAATACTCACATTGTGATGGGCAGGTTTTTAGCATCGTCCTTAGTGCCTGTCAGAGACATGGTAAAACTTGGGTCTATCTTCTTGCCTTGGATTTCATTTATAAAGTGGATCTTGAACTGATAGTGATAGACTGTAGAAAGGGAGAATTTACAAAGTGATGAAATTAGTGGTCGAAGAAACAATAGATTTCTCAGACATAAGACTGTCTTTCAAAGCAGGAATTTGATTGGTATTTCCATTTTATTTTAAAATGAATTTGTACAATTAAAGCATACATATATTTATCATTGATGTGTTGTGTTAAAGCTTGGGGGCCCTACCGCTCTTTTTAAAAGCATTGAGGAGGAGAGGGGAGGAAGGTAACCTGGCAGAGTTCCCTTTATAGAGTAACACACTCTCCCATGGGAAATGTTTTTGCTCTTCTGAAATTTAATCGTTGGAATGTCTGGCCAGCTCTGTCCAACCAGCAGAGGAATCCTTCTGACTGGACGTGTTTAGAGGTGTACAATAAAGACTGAAGACCTTATAAGATGTTGTCAGGCTTTTTCTCTGGAAAATTTCCTTGCAAAGCAAAAGACTTCCGTTGGCTGCATAATAAAACATTGTGCTTAATACGCATCTGCTAACAATATGACTTTGTTCAATCACATTACTGTAAGAAAGATGTCATTGGTGCTTTGTGATTTGGTGGTTTCTCCAAGAGTTGTGTTTAGGAGAGTCTTTGGACTGAAGATAATGGCATGCTTCTGAGAAAGAAGAATGACTAAGGAATTGTCAGTTTCCTGATTAAAGCTGTTTGGCATTTAGAGAACTATAAAAGACAAAAACAAACAAACAAAAAAACCACCATATAGTTAGAGGCCTTGTGTACTCAGATATTATCATCTAGTTTTGAATGTCCAACACTTACCTGTCTAGCAAGTCTACCAAAAGAAAAGATCTGGCTGTAGCCACTTAAATGTAGTATGGAAAAGTTACTGTTGGGTGATAATGGTGCCTAAGAGTTTTCAAGTTGACAATACCCACATGTGGTGGCTCTTCATCAACTTCTGACATCAACATCAGATCCATTATTTTCTGAAAAACTTTTTAACAATCATCACTGCATTTTACGCACCGCTTATCAGGATATGCTATTTGTAGCTCTAATTCATCACTGTTATATATTGACAAACACATAAAAATAAAACCAGACATGCAGTGACAATGGAGACATCTAAAGCAAGCCAGCTCTAAAACACTTCTGCAGTGTGGAATGTGGTTTTCCCATCTGCAAACTGCCTCCTTGCCCACAACTGTTTGGATGTTAGGAAGGAAACGCTCAGTCATTTTTATTGACAAATATCAGAAAGTACTTGGGAGAATTAATAGGTGGTGATATTTATCCTTGCAATGTGGTAAAACTGTACATGGGAAACTGTTCTGTTAAACATTACTGCAATGTGTGTGTATATAGCATCGTAAGAGCTTTTGAGTGGGAAGATGCTCAAAATCACCTGCTTCAGGCTTCACACATAATGCTACTGCTGCCCTGTCATCTTTTCCTGTATGTGCACAGATAGACCTTTGTGCAGCTGTGGGCTTCCACAGTGGAAAAAAGAAAAAAAAATACACAGCTGAAAAAGGTGTGTATTTTTGTTGCTGTTTCGTAAGTTACTGTATACTGAAGTGCAATTTTCTTCTGAAAAGTTGCCACTTATCAAAAAGCAAAATGACCAGTTCTTTGCTGCCAGCCAGAAATGCAGACCTGACAAGGACAAAGTGTGCAGAAAGGCTTGTTTACAAATCACCTATTGCTATTCTGTCTTGCTCTGGGTTTTCTCTTCTTGTAAAAGTTGAGTGTTCTTATGAAGCCCGGTCTTGTGCAGTGCTTATGATACTCAAAGAAGAAAGGTGAGCATGTTTACATAAAAACTTTGGTTGGCTCAGGGTCTCATCGTGACTTTATAATTGTTACCTTCTTTGTAGCAATTGCTTTTTTATTTGTACACTCCAGAACATAACTTGAAAAATGTCTGATTTCATAAAATGTGAAACATAATGCTGAGTTCCTCGGGTTTCCCCTCTTTGAGCTTCTCTCGTGATCTTCAAACTTTTTTTTTAAGAACATTACAAAGATCACTTCACACACATCCTTCCACTGGTGCTGCCTTGTTTTGGAACTGTTATGAAAGGAAATTATTGTTTGAGCATTGGCTTTTGTTTTTTTCCCACAACTTTTTCTTCTGAAAGGAAGACCATGTTGAAACATAAAAATGAAAAAAAAAAAAAAAAGTGTTTAAAATCAAAATCAACACCTGTGGGATTCTATGTCCATATCCAGGAAAGGAAACTGCACAGGGGTGTTATTCCTGTGTGTGCATGTGGCAGACATGGCGTCATCAGAGCAGTGTATGTTCCCCATTCTGATGGTGGCCTGACTGTTATACAGCCAAGCAACACTGGCAACTGCACGGCCTTTAAAAATCTGTGAATCTGCTCCAGGCAGCTTCCTGTGACGTTTTTAACAAGTATGAGACCCGCAGTGGGTTCAACTGCTCTGAGTGTCAGTCAGGGCTGAGCACATTTATCTCCAGCCGTGGTGTACTTCACAGCTGCATTGGTGGGAGGAATCATAGGATCTCCAAGTGAGACACTGCAGTGAGTGTCCAAACATTTACTGAACTCTGGAAGCTTGGGCTGAGCACTGGGCAGTCTGTTCCATGCCCACCGCCCTCTGGTGAAGAATCTTTCCCTACTTCCCAGCCTGCTCACCCCAGCAGAGCTCCGTGTCACCAGAGAGCAGAGCTCAGCGCTTGGCCACCAGAGTGAGAGGATGAAAGCCTGTGCAACAGCATTGCCCTAGGTTTTGCTCCAGACCTGAAGAATCCTAAGTTACTACCAGGAGGAACACTTCCAAATGTATTTTAAAAGTACGTGAATTGTATTTTTATGGGTTTTATTCTCTGGTGCTGCAATTGAGTACCAGGCACTGCGTGTGAAGTTGCACTGTGTGACACAAGCAGGTTCTGAGGGGGATTCCTGCACCCTGGGCCTGTGATGGAAAAGGCGGGAAACCGACTGTGCTTTCTTCTGTGGTGATTCCTCTGTCTCTCTGAATTTGGGTAGTTATTTTGTTCTCTTGATAAAATATTTTAAGGGTGATAAATCCTAGAGTAATGGTCTCTTTGTTTTAGTGCCACATTCTGGCCTGTAGAAGTCCAGCTGTTCTATTATCTGCTGGCTGAAAAGTAATGATTTGTGTGTAGTAATAATTTATAGGATTAATTTATCTGAAGACAAACTACAGAAAAAATGTGGGTGAATTTGGAACGTGAGGCTTTACAGGCCTCCCAGAGCAGTTGTGCTGCTGCTTTGGCTTGGCTGTGTGCTGCGGATGCTGGGGCACTCGCACGGGACAGCTGTAGAAATGCCTGTCGACCCAGCGGCTCTGAGGCACAGATTTGATGTGAGGTCATCGAGGCAGCCTGGCAGGATTCCTCACCGTCTGCAAATCGATTATCCTGCAGATTTTTCTTATAAATGAATTATCAGGATCACAAAGCCTAGACTTGTCACCACACTTCATGACATGGAGACTATAACAAACACTGCCACAAACCTTTGAAAGGCATGCGTGCTCTTGTTTTCAAAAAGAGTTTTCTACTTTTTGGGAGCCTTTCCTCCCGTATGTTGTAGCCCAGGGTGTTGCACCGGTTCTTCCTACAGCTGAGGCACAATCCTTTGTCAAAAGTGCTGATGTCGTTGCACCAGTACGCTGTGCTTTGCTTGTCCTCGTGAAGCAGGGAGTCAATGAACAAGTGAACTGACCTCTCGTGGGCACATTTCACAGTTTGAGTGATACCTGAAAATACACAAACAGTCGTTCCTTTTTACTGCTCCAGCTACAGAGCAGCCAACTGTATATGTTACTGTGCTTCCCCCACCCCTCTTACTACTGGAATGTCACAATTTATGTCTCAGAAAGCATACATGCAGGAACAGTATTTTTGGGATCATCCAAGACAGTTTGGCTGAACCCACATACTGATAAAACTGATAGTTTGCTGCTTACATTTGTTTAGCCTGCCTGGCCAAGACGGTAAGTATGAACCTTGATTACATTGTCCTGACTGATACGTTAATCATGAAATACAGTGTGAGGCTACATGCAGCCTTTCAGATCATGCTCAAGACTACTGTCTTATTCTGAGTGGCTGAACACTGTTGACTTTTGAACGTTTATATAATGTCATATTTTGTTCTCATCAGAGTTAACAGGCTCTAATGTTGAATTTTGCCTTCAGCTACAACTGGGGGGAAAAAAGTCACCAAAAATGTATGAAATACATAATATTTACTAAATACATAGATGTGCTTTAAGATGAGTGCCTTTTCTCTCCTTTTCTAAAAGGAAATTATACTTTTAAAAATTTCAAATCAAATTGTAGAAGTTATTTTCTTTTGTGTAATTTGAATATACCACAGTGGACGGTTTTTACATGACTTCATTGATAAGATTTCTATGTGGTGTCATGAATTATCTGCTAAGAAGTAAGATCTACTTCTATATAGCGTAGTGATAGCTGAGAAATGCCAGGTGAACAGCACTCTTATTTTTTTTAGTTAACAGTTCTGGCTGACACCGTGCATCAGTACTTTTATCTTCTTTCAGTGTGTTGCATGATCTCTGTACATTTGTGTTTAGGTCCTTTGGAAATGGGTTTCTGTATGTATAAAACCAGCTTGGAACATTGGAAGTGAAGTCCTGGAGAGAGCATTACCCTCTGTGCAGCTGAAGGATGATGACTTGGGGAAAGGTGAATTAAGGTGAGTAGTACAGCTTTGTTTGATTTGAAATAACTAATTGCATGCTAGATGAATCTGGCTTAATTAAAATATTTTTTCTTGCTTCCTCTACCACCAAAATAATTACCTTTGAAAATTATTTGAATGTTCTCGACAGCAGTGTACTCATGGTCTTGTTTCAAAAGTGCTAGGCAGCCACATTTCTTATTATTCAGTGAGAATGATTTGAGCTCAGTACATGTAAAAATCTATAATCAATTTCTAGAAAAGAAACTTCTTTGTTTATAGTGGGAGATAGTGCTCCCCATTTGATGATGTTTTAGCACCATAAGTCTATGTGGTTTCCAGAGGTAGCATAAATCCAGCTGCAGCTCTGCTGCCCTTGCTGTCCATTTGATCTTACCTGTGATCCCATATTGTGCAATGTGGTTATACACATGCATGAAGTGACAGCCAGGCTGAAAGGTGCCTCCATTGGGATAAAAATCGAAATGGGCCACAGGCTGTTTGATGCCAACACTGAGACCCATGTGCTGTTTAGTGAACGTATGAATGGCATCTACGAAGTTTGCATCATCTGGAGATAATCGGTCTGTTGGTGACATTCCTTCAAACAAGGGGCCAGCAGGGTCAAGGCCTGCAACAAAAGCAAACGATCCAATTGTGATATAGTATAGATGAGCTTTTCTTATACTGTTTTGAGAAAAAAATGTCTGATAAATATTTAACAACATACAGCACTGGAAATTTACAAGGTCTTTCACTGACAGAAACAATGCTAAGAACACTTGTACTGCAGAGGATACATGGATACACCAAAAGGCAAATAGAGATGTAATAAACAGTAACTGCTATACACACAAGGACACAGGCTGAGATAGATATGTTTGTTATAGGTAAGCCAAGCTCACTACTGTTTTGTCTTTTGAGAAATGTTTACTTAATTCTGTTCTTTGATACTCTAGAGGTCATGCGTTTCAGAGGTCCTTTTGAAAACAGCAGTCCTACAACAAAGTTGACTTTTAGCCTACATTTGAGACTTGTAATTTCTAAAGCTTCTCTTCACAGAATCAGATGCTCTGTATAATAATATTCAAATTACTGCAGTACTCAGAAAAATAATATTCCAGTTATGTATGTTGTTTTTAATTCACTGGGTGCTTTTGTATAATACCCTTCTTGGGAACTGATTGCTGGAAAAATACTTACTCCATAGTTTAAAGCTGCTGTTTAGCTTGGAGAATGAGCTTCTAAAATTTTAAAATTCTAAAATCTTTTTACCTGTAATTCTTCCAATCTTGTTTGTACCACTGATGTAACTACCAGCAAACCCTGAAACATGAGCTCCCAGGCTGTACCCAATTAGATGAACATCACTCCTGGAAAATTGAATGGATTCCTGGAAGGTAACAGCAGTTTGATTTAGATGCAGAAAATGCAACATGTAAACTAGTAAAATGCTTAACCACAAACAAGGAATACTGCGAGTTGTAACTCAAGAAATTTGTGTGTTGATGCTGAAGGTGAAACAAAGTGCTTGTATCATGCACTAAATTTCTTTGCTGGTTGAGTGTTATTCCTTGCCTCCTTTGTTTGCATCAGGAAAATGCCATCCATCTGGGCACTTGGACTTTTGTGATATGCTCAGGAAAACCATCGACTGAAATAGTAGAGGTTCTGTTACTGTTTGTTGGAAGTGATGCAAATGTGTGTAAGTGGTGACTCTGGCTCTCCTTCCTGTCTGTTCTTCCTAGATGGGAATGTTGTCTAGTAACTTCTAGCCCTGCCATTTCTGTTGAAAGCCCTTTAGGAGTATTGGCTGCAAATCTTTCTGCTCTGCTGCTTGTTTTCCTTCTGCCACAGATCCCACCATAGTTAAATTGATGTATTCAAAAATTCATTGTGAGGTGCAGAGATAAAATTTCACTTCCAATTAGGTAGCTTGAATTATTACTGGAGATAGCCGAAATAAGAGTTAAACAGGGTGCATAGTTTATATGTGTAATTTTCTTTCCAATGTTTTGCCTTCTGCTTTTTCTAAAACAGTTCTGGAGACAAGCAATCCCTTGCAAACTCCTCTATACTGTTTCCATTCAGGTGGCTGCAGGTATAGCTAAACTGCTGTAAGGGACAGCCACTTGTTTGTACCTAGTGGGAGTTTTGATGAGTAGTCACTTCATTAGCATGGCTCCGCACTCATTACTGCCCTTGATCATGTGTATCTGTCCTCTTAAATCTCCCTTTAAACTTTGGATCACCAAGCCATTATTTTAGACTAATCTTTGGGAAACAGAGGAAAAACAAACAAACAAAAAAAACCAACAGACATGATGTCATGCTTGAACTCTGAGTTAAGGATAGATCACAGACCCATTTTGCTGAACTAGCCACTTGCAAATGATCATGTGCCTGCTTTGAAAGTACAGGACTCTTGCTCTGACTTTCTTTTACTGACTGAGTTCTGAACTTGAAATACTGTTGAGTAGTTTAACAGTTCAGAGAACGTCAGCTGTCTGCACAAGTGGGAATTGAAAAACTGAGTGAGCGTGAAATGATCTCACCTCTAAAGACACATGGAAGTATTCTGATAAAAAAGACCACTTGCTTTTTTTCTCTTACATGGTAAAGATTTTTATGAAACCATGTGAAAATGAACGGAAGAAAATTACAGGATATTAGAATTGATTGAAATGAATAAGCATTAACCAGTTGGTATTTGTATCTTACCTCCAGCCATTCCACAAAGTCTGCTATCTCCTGTCCTATGTAGCGTGTGTTCTGTACAGCAATGGGATAGTGCTGGTGAGCAAATGTAAGCCAATCTGCAATGATCACATTGAGTTGTTTATGCTGAGACTTCAGAGCCGCTGCCATTTTCCAAATCCAACTTTCTAAAATCCCATCCACCTGTTTAGATTAAAACAAACAAACAAAAAAATTAAAGAGGTAATCTTAAGAGAAACCCGCGTCTACCAAGTATTTTGTATGAGAAGCTCAGGGAAATGTAAGCCGTAACACGAACCAGGAGGGCTAGTGCAGGTAACTAAGATTTTTGAGGCTGCCAGCATCTTTCATTGCCAAGAATCCTTGATTTTTGGTGGACAAAAAAATCAAGAACATATATAAGTATTTTAGGATGTGATCTCTTATCGCTGAAATGATTACTGATTGAAGAGAGACAGAAGTGCCCCAAAAGTTTGATTTTTTTCAAGAGCAGCTGTCCATGTAAATTTATACTGAAAGGGGAACAAAGCTGCAATGCCACAGACCTGTGAATGTTTGCCTTTTACAGCCATTCCATTTTGAAACCTCTTTTATCCCTCTCTTTTCTGGCTCTTTTTTCAAGGACTGCATCACACTTTCTGTATTAGCATCTACAACTGCTCCCAATTTAATGGACCAGAATTACTACTTAATATTTCATATTTAGGATGAGCTAGTTGTACTTATTTCCTAAATAACAGAACATCCTAATCTCTTCTGGCTATTTGACAGAATTTGGAAGTCTAGGGTTTGGGTTTCCATTCATACTTCTCTGAGAGCATAATACTTCTGCACTATAAATGAATGTGAATCTTGAATATTGACAGCAGCAGCCTCAGATCCATAATTTCTCTTTTAGAAGAGCATAGATTTTGAACATCCTTGCATGTGGGAGTCTTAGCTAATGTAATCTAGGGCAACATTCCATCTCTGCTGTTCTGTTTTGTAAGAGTTATGTGTATAAGGGTGTTGCTCAAGGTTTCTCTGATTGTATGTTTGCAGTGGCAGAAGGAAGGTGTATTTTGCCTCTAGTTTGGTGATACTGATTCTATGAGAATCAGGTATCTGTTCAAATTAGATGACTTCTTATCCTGCCTTATCTTTTGTTTCTTTTTCAACAGAGAAGCTGATAAAATTTCACTCTAGCATAGAAATTCTATGCAATTGAGCAGTTTTGGTTTTTTGTTTTTTGTTTTTTTTTGTGTTTTTTTTTGTTTTTGTTTTTTATGTTTTTCTCTTTTTTAATCATGTAATTGGAAGCAGTTCAGTGATAATTCACCGACTTTTCAACTGAAAAAAGCTTATAGAGAAGTTCTCTCTGCAGGTGTACCTGTGAGAAAGATGTGGGCAGTTTGTGCGCAGTTCTTTTCAAGAAGCCTGTAAATACCTGGCAGCGAATGTACCAGAGGAATGAAACCTAATATTCAGTCCTCCAGAGGCATAGCTCTTTAATTCTGCTGCTTGTTCTAGCTCTGCTGGCTTTAAACCAGGACTGAAACTAATTCCTGGCATGGGATTCTTACAGGAAAAATTGTTTCTCGAGCATTGCTTCAGAATCTCAGTGGAGAATTGCCACTTTTCATTTTTAGCTGTGATTGCCACCATCTTTGAGATCCTAGTTTTAATTCTGAAGTTGCTTTTGGCACTAGCGTAACGAGGAGGAAAGTATATCAAATCAGATGTATTAAATCAGATTGAATTAAAAATAAAATGTGTGTTCATACCGACCAGCCATGGACTATCATCACGAGAGGAAGAGAGGCATTGAAACTGCATTTGTCAAGAGTCTCCAACTGATTAAACAAAATCTGACATGCTCCTCCAGTTGTGTTTGTATAGAGTTGAAATTTGGTTTCTAAGCTTTGCTGATCTTTCTTTGTTCTAGAGTGCTGACTCTGTGATCCCAGTGCCTCTGAAATGAAATTCATAGTAAGTCATAATAGTATGGAATCTAAAACCTGAAGAAGTTACTATAAGACAGCTTATAAGACACAGTAAACTGTTAAGATCAAAACTCTATCTGTGTATAATTGTTACCTACTCCAGGTGGGCCTAAGCTCTGCATTTTGTATTAAAAAAAAAAAAAAAAAAAAAAAATTATTTATGATTTCAAAGCTTGAGTTAATATAGATGTGCATCTGAATGCATCTATTTATGCAATAACAATTAATTTCTAGATGACATAATGAATGATTCTTTCTCCCTAAAAGGATTTGATGAAATATTCTGGTTGTAAAACTTTTAAAAAATTCTTTAGTTGAAGTAGCTTGGCACACATAGAGCAGCCTTTTCAGAAATGTCTATTAAGTGCCTGGGATGGTATCTGTTCTTAAGAAAGGAGTGGCAGAGTGAACTGTGGTCTCATCAACATTATGAATTGAGAAGGAAAAAAACACTGAATATAGAGAGATTGCTGACAAATGGGGTATAACAAAATGGAAGTTTACAAAAAGCGCAGTGTGATAAGCAAGTGTGGTGTCTCTTTCTGATAAGACTTCAGACTTTTATGTTGTTTATCTTAAAATTATCCCGATAATAAATTTATTAAATATAGAATGAATGAGAATTAGAGGAAGAAATGTCAGGATGTGATGAACCAGACTGATGAGAGGCTACAGATCTTTGAGAAGGAAACTTCTAAAGTGGGGAGGGTGTTCTCCCTGGGGATTATTTCTTGGCTAATTGTAGTGTAGTGCTTTAATGTAAGAAGCTGTCAGGAAAGGTACAAAACTGAGAAACGTTGGAAGGCATTTGCAGGTACTGCAGAGACCACAAAGTTAAACACTAACAGCTTGAGGGCCTTGAAAATATGGCAGTAGAAGCAGGTAGAATTTTCAAATTATGGAGCACAAGGTCGTACAGCTGATATGGATGGCTGTGTAACTAAAGCTCAGAAATTGGAAGCAACAAAAGGGTGAAAAGACAATGGTAATAAATAGCAAAACTGACCTAGTCATTGCTGTGATTTGGCTCTGAGAAAGGAAAATGTTGCTCCAAGATGCATTAAAGCGATGCCTTTGATACAAAGAAAGAATGTTCGTGCCAATAATACTTAATAATTTAGTAGCAGCAAAGGGAACAGTGTACATAGCTCTTATTACCACCTTCAGGTCATACCAATTCAAGCTGCAACAGTTGCTCAACAGCGCCTTTGAAATGGTCACAGAGGAAGTCAGTGCCTTCAATGTAAGTCTGTGCTCACTGCAACTTCCATGCTCACAGAGGCTTTTGGAACGCATCTAAAATCATAACATATTCTTTTCCGTATTATATCTACAAATACATCTTGATGCATTCTACAACAGTGTTCCATTTTTAGCACAAAGAGGAAAACAAAGATTATTTAACTTCTCTTCCATTACATATGTGCTTTCTTTGGTTTATTCCTCATTTTCATGTTCTCCCAATGCCTGTTATAGTGCTGACACTTTGTTGCTCTATTGTTTGCACATATTTCAGAAAACAATCGTGAATAGCTGTTTTCTTTATATATCCACTGTGAGAATGTTTAGTGTTGTTTTTAACTTGCCTGTAAGTCTAAGAGAGGGAGTTAAAAATACAGCTTGAACTTTGTGGCTTTCAAATGTGAAAATTTCCAATGGAATCTGTTGTATCATTAGACAACTGCATCAAATTATTAATCCATGTAATGACTTGGAGAAGGAAATCGTATCTCAAAGTTTGGCACCTTACAACACTCTTGCTAAAAATGTTGTGCTAGTGACTGAGAGACATGATCAAAGGCAACTGCAAAGTTTCATAGGCAAGCCTGCAAAAATTGCAAAACAAAACTGCTGAATATTTTCCAGTGCTCACTGCAGCTGAGTTTGGAAGATTTTTTGGCAAATTACCTCTTAGCCAGGTGAGTTGGTGGCCGACTTGTAGAATCATGGAATGGCTTGGGTTGGAAGGGACCTTAAGATTAAACTTCCGTGCTGTGGGCAAGGCTGCCACCCACCAGCACGTCCAGGGATGAGGCAGCCACAGCTTCTCTAGGCCGCCTGTTCAGCACCTCATTACACTCTGAGTAAAAAATTTCCTCCTAATATTTAAACTGAATTTACCCTCTTTTAGTTTAAAGCCTTTTCCCCTTGTCCTGCCACTAACAAGCTATGGAAAAAGTTGGTCTCCCTCATTCTCTTGTTCCCTGTAGATCTTAGTTCAACGTGAATCCTTCAGAGAGGCAGTACGATGTGGTCACGTTGGTCCGTATGCTCACATAAATTACCTTCATGCAGAACAGCATAAAAATGACATGAAATTTCATGACTTCTTGGTACCCTGGAGGAAGTTCATCCTTTCTTAATTTGTGTTAATGATGTGTCTATGCATCAGTAAGAGATGCAGTAAGACTGTTTTTGTAAATACCACTTAATTGTAGTAAAGTTTCATCATAATTGTTTTGATTTTAGTTTTGGCGTATGAACCAAAACAACTATGACTTGCTTTGGTTGGTTGGTTGGTTTGCTGACAAGTAAAACCAGAAGACTGATTCTGAGCTTAACAAAATCAACCATTTCTATCTTCTTGAATTTAAAAAATAAAAGGGAACATATTCGTTTTCCAATTTAAAAAAAAAAAAAAAAAAAAAAAAAAGTGAACTGAAGTGTATTAATCAATAAGCCTGTAAGGCAGTTGTGGCAAAGAGCAGGGAAACCAGATCACAAAGAAGCCAGCAATGATTCCATGTTCAGAATTCAGCTCCTGATTCCAGGCTGATGCCACGTGCAGAACAGTGCATACAGTCTTGCTCTCCTCCCTTGAAAATGATGGAGAAGGATGCACCACCCACATCCACACAACTATTAAACTGCATACATTATTTATGGGGTAACAAATATGCTGTCCTCCCAGTTTCCTCATCTAAAGTAAAGCACTTCTAAATGTGAATGTTTAAGTGCTACTTGTGCAATCCATAATTACTAAATTGAAATTAGTACCTCAAGGGTTTCATCTGACCTAATCTGAATTCTATGAGCCCAAATACTGGGAAATCATTAGAACATTAATCTTTCCAGGAATACTTTGGGCTAACACATAATAAGGATCTCAAATTGTTTCTATAATTAAATGCTGACAACAACAACAAAAATAAATCTCCATCTGTTACCTAATGCAAACTTTGATAGTTTCAAGTGATATTTAGAAGTAGGTAGATGTAGGGGAAGAAAATACTTGCAATATTTTTTAGTCACACACTTCATGTTCATTTGACCTTTTATTTTCTGCAGCCCTTCTTTCCAGTACTGTTTTCTCTCCCTTTGTGGAAGTGCTTGTTTGCAAATATGTGCATGACTAAATTCTTGGCCAGAGTTTCTGCCAAAATAATCAGATGCCTGATTTGGAGCTTGCATTTCCTTGATATTAAAGGCAAAAAGAAGAAATGGTCTCAAACTGCCTGGATGAAATATAGTCATACAACACTATCAGAGAAGATGGCAAATGAATAAAGACAAATGTGAAACAAAGTAATTAGGACAGGAAATGTAAGAACTAAAAGTGATGTGATATGGAGATCTATAAAATCCTACACTGGATGGAAGAATCACAGAATCACAGAATTGTAGGGGTTGGAAGGGACCTCCAGAGATCATCGAATCCAACCCCCTGCCAAAGCAGGTTCCCTACAGCAGGTCGCACTGGTCGGCATCCAGGCAGGTCTTGAACATCTCCAGAGAAGGAGACTCCACCACCTCCCTGGGCAGCCTGTTCCAGTGCTCCGTCACCTCACTGTAAAGAAGTTCTTGCGCACATTTGTGCGGAACTTCCTATGCTGCAGTTTCCAGCCGTTTCCCCTTGTCCTGTCTCCACTCACCACTGAAAACAGTCTGGCCTCGCCATTCTGCCCCCCACACCTTAGATATTTATAGACCTGGATCAGGTCCCCTCTCAGTCTTCTTTTCTCAAGGCTGAACAGACCCAGTTCACTCAGCCTTTCCTCGTAGGAGAGATGCTCCAGGCCCTTCACCATCTTCGTGGCCCTCCGCTGGACTCTTTCCAAGAGATCCTTGTCTTTTTTGTACTGGGGAGCCCAGAACTGGACACAGTACTCCAGATGAGGTCTTACCAGGGCAGAGTAGAGGGGGAGGATCACCTCCTTCGACCTGCTGGACACGCTCTTTTTAATGCACCCCAGGATGCCATTGGCCTTTTTGGCCACAAGGGCACACTACTGGCTCATGGCCAACCTGTCATCCACCAGGACACCCAGGTCCCTCTCCGCAGAGCTCCCCTCCAGCAGGTCATCCCCCAACCTGTACTGGTGCATGGAATTATTCCTCCCCAGATGCAAGACTCTACACTTGCTTTTGTTAAACCTCATCCGGTTTTTTACTGCCCAGCTCTCCAGCCTATCCAGGTCTTGCTGAATGGCAACACAGCCTTCAGGCGTGTCAGCCAATCCTCCCAACTTGGTATCATCAGCAAACTTGCTGAGGGTGGCCATTATCCCCTCATCAAGGTCATTGATGAAGATGTTGAACAAGACTGGACCCAGTACAGACCCCTGAGGAACACCACTGCTTACAGGTCTCCAACCGGACTCTGCACCACCAACAACGACCCTCTGCGCTCTGCCAGTCAGCCAGTTCTCAACCCACCTCACTGTCCACTCATCTATCCCACATTTCCTCAGCTTTGTTATAAGGATGTCGTGGGGGACGGTATCAAATGCCTTGCTGAAATCAAGGTAGACTACATCCACTGCTTTCCCCCTATCCACCCAGCCAGAGACAACATCATAGAAGGCCACCAGGTTGGTCAAGCACGACCTCCCCCTTGTGAACCCGTGCTGACTACTCCTGATAACCTCCTCTTCTTCCAGTTGTCTGGAGATGACATCCAATACAAGCTGTTCCATCACCTTTCCAGGGACAGAGGTGAGGCTGACTGGCCTATAATTGCCTGGGTCTT